ACAAAACCCAAATAATGTTCTTACCATCAAGTTACATAATAGGTTTTATGTATTATGTATTATTTATGTGTTTAGGTAGTTGCAAGTAAACATAATATAAAATAGTTAATTTTTTATTCATTATTGTTCTCCTAGACTCTATAGTCTACAGGTCAATTTATCGAACTTAAATAAGCGATCTTACATATAACAATTAATTATTATAATAATAAACTGTAAAATGTTTTTGGTTAATCCAATAATAATTGTCTTCAAACACCACGTTTACTTAAGTGTAATTTATAATTTTACACTAACCATGATCAACATCTCAAAAAAGTAATAATATTTTAGTATATAATAAATAATAATGTATATAACATTTAATATTTTATAAGATTTTTGCTTAACACAGCAGTAAAATAAAGCAGTATTTGTATAAGTTTTTAAATTGTGTAATATATTATACAATGTATTAATGTATATATAGCACAAAACAGTTTACATATATATTAGTCACTAAACATTATAAAAGTAATGTAAAAAATTTCAGAATCTATGGAACACCACTGATATAGACTAGGTACTATAATTTAAGTGTTAAACAGTGTCATTGTTATTATTAATATGTTTAAATTTAAACTATTTATTGTAAATCTATATTATTTTACACTGTAATTTAAAATTAAATTGAAATTATATTCCGTTAGGTATATATAAAGTTTATTATTAGGTATTCTGAATATTAATATATTATTCGTTTTAGAAAAATTGACATGCAAAGAAAAATTTTGTATTGGATTATTCAAATTGTACTAGTGAATAATTTAGTTATTTGTTGTATTAATCATAAGTTAAATATAAAATCTTATTTAATTAAATTTAATAGAAAATACAATTATTAGATAGAAAATACATTTATTATTGTTATACTGATGTTTATCATAAAGCTATTTTCATTTTTCAATATTCAAATATTAATGAATTCAATTTCCATAACTCATGTATACCTACCTAAATATCTAAATTCTAAAGTCTAAACTAGGTACCTATATGTTATTACTTTCAAATTCACATCTACATCATCCTGGTTCTTGAAAATCTGCACTCTTAAATTTGGGTAACTACTTCTTCAAAATTGGACAATTTTAGTGTGGTATTATAGCCTACAAAAAAAAAAAAAAAAACACAATATAAATAATAATATAAAAGTATACAATATATAGGTACAATTTAAAAGAACATTACATTACTTTAAAACCAAGAGAAAGGTCATTAATTTAAAGAAAGATGTCTTTAAAGCGCCTTTCCTCCTTTTTCATACGGTGTATGAATGTATAGGTACAATATTTGTACTATATTTGTACTATATTTGTGTATCTCTCATCACCTTTTAGGATAGTAAAAATGCTTAGATTTTCTTCAACAGTATCTTTTCTGATAGGAAAGTGAATTTAGTTGGTACTTTGGGGGGTCAAAAGTAAAAATGTCCCAGTCGTTGTCAAAACAAAAGAAAAATTAAGGAAAAACGGGAATTTTTACGCAAAATCTGTTTTTGAAAAAATCGATTTTGGTTTTTGGTGGAACCCTTAAACAAATTACCGTAGGTACATGACATGTTGACTGAATGTTTATATTAGTATTTTCTATAAACCATAACATTTTCCAAATATTTTGAGCAGTTTACGGACATTTTCAGTTTAAATTTTATTTAGTTTTTTTTTCTATAAAATAAATATCAATAAAGTTTTATTTGTTGGGTAAAACAGCTTGAAAATGTAATGCAATAAAGCTCCTGATATATTGTTACAATAGCAGTTGAAAAATATGAAAAATACATATGCACAATTTTTTTTATAAGCACTTAAAGTTCGAATTTTGACTAAATTTATCAAATTTAAAATTTAATAATTATTTTGTATTAAAAATTGATAAAATGTTCAACTTTTATAGCTAAGAATTGAAAATTTAAAACAAGGTTCCACATAAATAGGTTATAAATATTTCTTTATTCACAATAATATTATCAAATATACTTAGTAATATCATATCTATGCTGACTGATCGTTTTTCTTATACAATAATATTATATCATTGAATTCAAATTTAACACCATCCATTACAGCACAATATTACAGTGGCCCACTTGTAACCTACTGTACAGCAGATCTATTGTCCACTTACCCACCTTTTTTATCTTTACTTTCTCATATTCACGTAACCTCATAATGGTTTTGTTATTCGCATCTCACATATACTTATTGTGCTTAAATGTATAGATTGTATACTTATTGTAAAAATAAAAAGAAACTTTCTGGTGTAATATGAATGAACATAATATAATTAGATACTTTTTCAATTCACATGAAGTGGAGTTGTTTCATCTCACACTGTCTGATGATTCTATATATCTACAGTCATTCATTTTTAAATATAACAACAAAATATATAAATATATATATAAATCGCTTTATGAGAAATCGAGTGAATATCCAATATCGTAAAAATATAAAATTCAAACGCTTATAAAATCTAATTTGAGTTTCTTACAGACATTTTTCTTTTGATAAAGGTAGGTAATCTTATAAGGAACCTTGCATTACATTAAAAAAAAATTATTTATGAATTTCTAACTCATAATAACTTACAAATTTTCGTCATTTTTACGTATTTTGTCAATATTTTAACTTAAAAGGCTTATAAAAAAAAATTGTGACTATGGATTTTTAATTTTTTTCATCTGCCTTTGAAACAATATACTAGGAGCCTTCTATTAAATGTTCAATCTTTTTTAAATAACAAATAAAATTCTATTAATATTTACCTATAGAAAAAAAAACTAAAACAAATGGAAACTGAAAATGTCGGTAAACAGCTCAAAATAAGTCAAAATAATTGGGAAATGTTAAGGTGTATAATAGAAAATGCTATTTACATGGAATCTTGTTTTAAATTTTCAACCCTTAGACATAAAAGTTGAAGATTATATAAATTTTTAACTACAAAATAATTATTCAATTTTAAATTTGATAAATTTTGTCAAAATTTGATCTTTAAATGCTTATAAAAAAAAATTGTGCTTATGTATTTTTAATGTTTTTCAACTGCTATTGTAACAATATATCAGGAGCCTTGTATTACATTTTTACACTTTTTGGCCCAACAGATAAAACTTTATTGATATTCATAGAAAAAAAAAATGAAATTGAAATAAGAAATTGTCCGTAAAAAGCTCAAAACAAATCAAAATATTTTGAAAATTTTATCAACTATAAAAATTAATAAAATAAACATTCAGTGAAATTTTCAAGTATCTACAGTCATTCGTTTTTTAATTACAACAAAATAAGAAAATCGTTACATGAGAAATCGAGTGAATATCAAATGTTGTAAAAATATAAATTTCAAATGCTCATAATAATTTTATTTGAGTTTCTTGTAGACATTTTTTTTTTGATAAAGGTAGATAATCTTATAAGGAATCTTGTATCACATTGTAAAATCTTAGATTTAAAAAGAAAAATTTTTACGAATTCTTAACTCAAAATAATTTGCTAATTTTCGTGATTTTTCCATAGGTAATTTGTCAATTTTTGAACTTTAAATGCTAATAAAAAAAAACTGTGACTAAGGATTTTTAATATTTTTCATCTGCCTTTGAAACGATATTCTAGGAGCCTTCTATTAAATTTTCAAGCCCTTTTAACTAACAAATACAATTGTATTGATATTTTTAGTAAAAAAACTAAAAAAAAATGAAAAATGAAAATGTCCCTAAACAGTTCAAAATAAATTAAAATATTTTTAAAATGTTATCGTGTTTAGAAAATTCAAATATAAACAACCAGTCAAAATGTCATGTATCTAGAGTCATTTTTTTTAAAGTTACACCAAAAACCAAAGTCGATTTTTTGAAAAATCGATTTTGCGTGAAAATTCCCGTTTTTCCCGGCGCTTGTGAAAACTATTGGGAATTTTGAATTTTAACCTTCCCAATGCACCAACAACATTCACTTTCCTATCAAACAAGATACTGAAGTTGAAAATCGAAGCAATTTTTCGACTACTTATCGTGTACACAGACACACAAAAAAAAAAAAAAAAACAACACACATCATTGGAAAATCAATACATTCATCGTTCCTCTCAGAACCTAAAACACACATCATTGTATAATCAATACATTCATCGTTCCACTCAGAATCTAATATTTAATATTATTTATTATTCAATGCTATTACGTGTTATTTCAACTATGCCTCCTCCACCCGTCGACAACCTTATCAAGTGAAATCTTTTTGCCGTACTCTGTATTATAATATACCTACTAAATTATGCGTGCCACAGTAGATAACAGCATCGAACAAATAACAATGGCATTGGTATTCAGCCATGGATTCGTACTTTCGTACTCTATCGTTGGCCTGCTTGTCCATGAAGCCATGGAAATATTGATGAAAAGCATAACAATTATCGCCCAACGAGTATAATATATTTTGTTCTGCTGAAAGCTGTACGGACGGGCGCCGGCGGACTGTCGACTGTCGTCTGACAACTATTGCTTTAATCGCTGATTTAATGTGCTTATAATTATTATTAATTAGATAAATCGTATTGTACTATTCTATTGTATTCTGTTTATTCAGAACAGATAATCTTATTTTTTAACGCCGTACTAGCGTAATCCGAATAGAAGAAAGGAATACGGATTGTAAACGCAATCAACAAATATCTCGAAACATAATAGTTAATGAAAATTTTCTCGTTTAATCTCTTTTAACACTTCAGCAGATAATTGTCTCGCCCTGAAAAAGTGCATATTACTGCTAAAACAATATTCATATTCGGACGGTGGTATTCAGAATCAAGGTACCTATTTTTAATTGTGTAACTTTTAAACTAAATTCAACAAAATATAATACTAAGCCTGCGCCTATATATTAAAGTAATAAAATACCGATATTTTCCTTGATTTTATATTTTCTACATATTAACTGTATTAATAATTAAATGTTCTAGAAATGGATGCGTGCTTAGCCGTTGATCGTGAGGTCGACAAAGTATTGTCAAGGTTTGAAGACATGAGTAAAAGCTATAATGTTGTATTGCAGCAATTGATTGATAGTCTGGAAATAATACAAAATGATTGGCAAAATAATGCTATTAAAGACGGTAAGATTTTAACCATCAAATTTTTTTACAATTAATAATGTCAGATAAAATATACAAATGTAGTGTTAACTTACAGTAAATAGGTAATTTTTTTTATTTTATCCGATTAACTAGTTTTTACATTATTTTGATCAGCATAAATGTTGTATACATTCAATTTGATATGAAAATATTCTGTATATTATAATCATATTTTATATTCATGATAGAACAATTTTATTTTAATGAGTTACCTAATTTTTAAATTGAATTCCCTAAATCAGTATAATTATCTACTTATCTACAATGTCGACAGAATAGATAATTATTTATAAGTAATGTAAATATTAATACATATTTTTGTACTAAGCACATTTTATGAACATTTTACTGAATTATATTGTATTTGTAACTAAATACAATATATTGTATATTTGTAACTAAAATTAATATAGTATAATTATTTCATAAAAGTACCATAAATAAAAAAAGTCGTGCGATATTGATTTATCATTTTTAAATTTTAAGTTATTTAGTATAACAAACAAGTTAATGTTTGAGTATACTTAAAAAATATGAAAATCATCCATCAATAAATTGTATAACATTAGATGGGTAAATTAAATAAAAAATAAATCTCAAATTACATTCAAAAGAAAAATCATAGACAAACTTATCATTGTGTTTAACAAACCTTATTACCTGCTTAGCAATAACTGCTGTTATAATGTATTTTTAATCTTATTTCTTTTTCAGAAAATAAAATGTCATCAATTAATGATATATCAAATTTAATTTATAAATCAAAAGAAAAAACACAACAATTAGCTATTGAACACCGAGAACTACATAGTACTGTATCAAAAGTGGGAAAAGCAATTGACAGAGTATGATATTCAATTCAATTTAGATTAATATTCAATTAATATTTATTTTATTTACAGAATTTTGTATCAGATTTTGACGCAACTTGTAAAGAGGATATTTTTGATGAACCCAAAAATGCCACATTACTTAATTATATCATCTGTCAACATTTTTATAGACAAGGCAACTTGGATATTGCTGATGAACTTGTAATGGTTAGTTCATTTAAAATCATAATTATGTAGGTACTTATTTTTAGGTAAGTTACTTTGAAAATCTAACTTTGTTAATATCTTTTTCGCAAATTAAAGAATAAATTCTTTATTGCGTAACAATAAGTATATTAACAAATAACAAATTTTATTTATTTTTTATAGGAATCTGGAATAGTCCTTGAACCTAGCATAAGAGAACCATTTGCTAAGTTGAAACACATCAAAGAGTCATTAATTAACAAAAATATTTACCCAGCTTTAGAATGGGCAAAAGAAAATCGGGCAGTGTTAGATACTCAGGTAAATATACAATATTATAATTAAATAAATATATTATTAATTAAATATTGGTTTAAATGTATAACTTTAGGTATATGCATTAATTGGAAATTGTGATAATTATTTTATTAAATTTAATTTTCTAACATAATGTAGGTAATAGATTAAAATATTTTTAAGAAATTTAACAAATAATTATCTTGGAATGTCTTTTTTTACTTGGGAGTTGAAACTATTTTTTTCATTATTATTAATTGTTCAGTAAACTAAGGAAATAGTTGTATTCATCTATTTTTTATTCAATATTTGGAAGTCTTAGAAACAAATAAAATTATATTACATAGAACAACCTGTATAATAACCTCTTCTACAATGCTATAATTTAATATTGACTTTAATATAATATTAAGGTAACATATGTTACTTATATAAATTATAAACATATTATAAATAAAAATATACAATTTTTTTTTTTGGTTTAAATTTAGATGTATCCTCCATACCCATTGGTTAAAAGGATTTCATCGGCTTCAAATTTGCCTATTCGTATTCCATATCATGCAAAAAGAACCAAATTTTCTGGTGGCATAATGAAACCAAGGCCAAAGACAAAAAAAATTAAAAGAATGGAATTGGCAAAGAAAATATTACAACAATTTTATAAGGTTTTTAAAGAAATAAAATAATAATTAAATCAACGATAAAAAATTTAAACTTTGAAAAAGGTAATAATTTTATTTTATTATACTTGGCTTTAATGTTATAGAGTTCTGCTCTTGAGTTTAAGCTTCACCAGCTTGCTTTTTTATCAATTATTCAAAAAGGTGTAGAACATCAAACTGAAGCTGTTGCCTATGCCCGAGCTAATTTTAGTCAATTTGTTGACAAATATGAAAAAGGTTACTAAATTAAACATATTTTACAAGAAAAAAATGTATTCATTTTTTTTTCAATAGAAATTCAAACTATGATGGGTATGCTGTTATTTATTCCACAAGGAATCAATAAATCACCATACTCAGATATGGTTCAAGAAAATATGTGGGATGAAGTTATTGAATTATTTACAAGGGATGCTTGTACCTTACTTGGATTAAGTTTTGATAGCTTACTGAATGTCAGGTACTATAGATATTTAAATTAAATACTTGTATTATCTAGAACAATAATTTAGAATTGTGGCTTTTCGTCCAAATGATATGTTATACTCTGAATCATATAAGAGTAATCTCAGAAAAGCTCTTGTACACTGTAAAAGCAATTGCTAACATGCTCCTGCGGATGTCATTTTATTACTCCAACACCTGCTTAGCTTGCATTTTGCGATTATAAACACAATAAACTAATGTCTCAAACAGATAGGTGATAGGTGGTATGATAATATCAGTCACCACCTGAGGTTACTTTTATAGTTCCATATGAAACAGAGTATAGCTCTACAACTATTGTTACTCAAGGTGAATTGCATCTGTTTGATTATTGAGTTTGAATAATAAAAGTGTTGAAATGTTTGTGTTCAATAACTAAAAATATTTAGTGTTATAATTGAAATTAAAGATTTTATTTAGTAATTCAATTTAAATTAACAATATTTTTTAGAAATAATTTGCATTGATTAAGTTGTGTTATATAAAAATATTACTCCCTACATTTTGTAATAAGCAATTATTGCTTTCAAAAATTAAATTTTATCATGTTGATAATTTTTATTCATGAATTAATATATTTAATTTAATTATATTCATTGATGTTTAAATGAACAGAATCTTTTTGATTAATTATTATAAATTTATTTAAACATCTAAGATATTAAATTTGGTTACTGACTCTATACATTGAATTTTTAAGCTTATGATATTGATTTATATTTTACTGTTCGATGAAATTATATTTTATGAATCGAATATATGACCTTAGAAGTTAGAAATTATTATTATAACAAATATTAAAAAAAAAAAAAAGAAAGAAAGAAAGAAAAAAAAGAACACAAGAATCTTAGAATCTAATATTTAAAACTTCAAGCATTTGACCCGCTTTAAATAACTGAAAAAATACTTGTAATATTCTGTTATTTATAAGTTAATTATTGGTTGCTTATAGCAGTGGTCTCAAAGTCAAATTATGAACAGTAATAATTAATGAATTCAACATTTAGTTCCTTTATTGTTAATTATAATATAACTGTATTTAGTACTGTATTACAAAGATGTAATTATTGATTTTTTGTTAAAAAATTATTTATTTTTATTTTAAAACTATTTGAGGAATTAAATGTTTCTTGCTGGTCATTTGTTTGAGACTACTGTCTTATATAATATAGTAAGGTAAATAAAATATATGAAAACTTCTGTTATCAGAAAAAATATCTTTCTAACAGTTAACTACCATACTAAGTATGTATAAGTATATATTTGTGTTAATTTATTTTTTAATGAAGTAATTTATTATAAATTCTGAATATTACATAAGTGTATTTATATTAACTTCCATTTTTTTTAGCCATTGATCAATAGACATTTCAACTTTTCCTATGAATTTCTAAATTGCATTTTAATCAATACAACCTAGTATTGTCCATTTGTCCAAATTTGACCATAAAAACCATTTTATTTGTAAAATCAACACAATCCAGAACATTATTTCTTAAATTGTGTTCTGTGAAACTTGAGTGCTATTTTTAAAATATTCAAGAAAATTACTTTAAAAAATCTAATTAAGATATATTCACATTTTGATTATTTTTAATTGTATGTTAATTCACTCACCTCTCAACCGTAGTCGAAACTACAGGTCAGGCCTTTTATTATTTCAGTATTCTGTAATTAGAATTTATCTTTATATTTATCATTTGGACTGTCCTAATAAAATTGTCTAGTTTTGCCTCTCATAGTTCAGTCAGTTTTAATATTTGATCGATAAAATTGACTCCTGAACTTCAACAAGATAAAGTTTGTGGTTGATAACGTACAATTAATTACAACTTAACTGTGAAACGGGGTTCTCAGTTTAAATATCGACAAAAATGAAATATGTAACGCAATAGACTAGATGCCGAGCCTAACATGAGAATTTAACTTTTATCCAATAAGCTTAATATTTAGTATATCTATAATAATAAAATGCAATATCATTCATCCCATTAAAATTTAAATTTAAAAGTCCGGAGTGTGTTATTTTAAAAACTTGGTAAATTTTGAAAAATTTTTTTTAATAAAAATAATTAAATAAATATTATTATATCTGAAATAATTATAATTTTTTTTTTATTATAATCTTTATAGAGAATGTTGCATTAAAACTATTGAAACAAAGTAGGTGTGCCAACGATAAATGTTGACATTTAAAGCTTCCAATGATAAAAAAAAAAACATTAAAAACGCTTCACTGTCGGTATTGGTGTTAGTGCTGCTTCTCATTTTATTTACTCATGTGAATGTTTTGTATTTGAAAATCGGGTATTTCGTATTTAAAATTTTTTGAGTCTAGGTTACTTTGTTTTTTATGTACATTTGAATAACAAACAATAATTAACTCAATTTCTTCTATTATATAAATTTATTAGGTTACTGCTTTTTATATTTAGTATTACTTAACTTCACCCAGAAAAATTTGTTTTACTGGACAAATGGCGCGCCTGGTGTATTCTTACTATCAAATTTTCTGCCTTAAGTGCGTATGTCCATATGTACACATTTTTTTGTGCAGTACCTTTCCAGTGATATTATTTATAATATATATATTATATATTTGTCCCTCTTATTATATATCCAGGCAGAGTAATTGGTTCAACAAAAAAGTGCTTGGGTGTTGTGCTTTGTATATGGATTATTAAAAGATATAATTATTAGATAAGATTTTATATTTATACTTTAATAAAAAATGTATCAACAAACAAATATAGATATAATATTTAAAAAAAAAAATCACTAATAATTATTTTAATTTTTAAGTGTTAATGCTGGTTGTGCAGCTCTCCCTGCACTTTTGAATATCAAACATGTAATGACACAGAGGAAAGTAAACAATATTTGGAAAGGAAAAGATGAGTTGCCTGTAAGTAAATGTATTTATATGTAATAAGTTATTTAATTGTTATATGGTAATAATAAATATTTGCCTTGTTATTTAGATTGAAATTGATTTAGACGTGGAGCATAGATATCATTCAATGTTTGCATGTCCAATTCTCAGACAACAAAGTTCAGATACCAATCCTCCAATGAGACTTATTTGTGGCCATATTATATCCAAAGATGCTTTACATAAATTAGGATCCTCAACTAAGTAAGATCAATTTCTTTAAACATAAGCACAGCATATGTAACGATTATTTAAATTGTTGTTTTTAGATTAAAGTGCCCATATTGCCCAATGGAACAAAGTTCATCAGAAGCTAAACACATATGTTTTTAGGCACATTTACCACCAATCATTCGATTAAAATTGTATACCTATAATTATCGCTCTAAATGTATGGATTTAAACTGAAGGATATACTTATCAACTTAATAATTATTTAATTTTGAATATTACTCAACAGAAAAAAATAGCATTACATATTATTGAAAAGTTTAATTGGATGATAATTGAAAACTGTATAACCTATGTAATTCGTTTTATAAAAATAAGTAGATGACATAACTTTCTGGTAATATTATACTTATACTATGTGCGCATAAAGTTAATTAAGTTCATTTTATAACTCTTTTTACTGTATAATTTAATATAAGCTCGAACATTTGTTTAATTATAATATCCCTACAAATAATATTTTTGTTCCTATAAAAATATATTTTAATTAACATGTTGAGTGCCTCGTAGTAACTGACATGCATTGCCCTTTTAGCAGCTTCAAATTGGCCCGAAAATGTGTTGACGTCCGGCTCCAGGCAATGCTAAAATGAACCAACGAATAACCACAAGCAGATATGGAATCGTTGCCTTGTACCTATGTGAATTATAAAAGCCGTAAAGATACCTATACAACTTGTCGACGCAGTCATGGATGCAATGTCATAATTGTCGACTGAGGCACTCTGCGTGTTAGTCATGTTATAATATTTCTTGGAAATTTCTTTACATATTTAAAATTCAACCATCGTATTACAATATAATAAGTGAATTATTTTTATTCTTTAATAATTATTTATTTTGTATGTTTCATGTTACATAAGTAACTAATAGTTTATCATTTAAATATAAACCACAGTGAGGGTGAAAGTTAAAATAAAATTATATTTCTGGAATCTTGGAAATCATATCAAATACTATTTTTTATAATATTATCATAATTCTATCTCAATATTTTCAGATTAATTTAATGTATTAAAAACAATTAAAACATATATTTTGTTTTAACACCACAGTAATACAAGTTTATTGACAAAATATGTGTATCAATGAATATTTTATTATCATAATAGTGAATACAATTGAAAATATAATATTAACATAATAGTATTTTAAAGTTTAAACGATTACATTAAAAACAGTCGATTTACTTGAATATTATAGAAAAAGACTAGAAATAACAATGTGATGATACTTAAATATTTAGGTTTTATCTCATTAATGTTATACTTTGGTAGAGTCAGGTCCATTCCATAGTTTTATCAAATTTTGGTATTAGTCAATACCTAGAATTATTAGTTATTTGTGGCATAAGCCAATCAATAGTTTCATCATATTTTACTGTTTGTTAGAGTAATATTTTCTTCAAAATCATAACAAAAGTAAGATATATTAAACTAAAATTAATTAGGACTAATGAGATTTGGACAGAACTAGGAATGGATTCAAAATCCTGAAATCAATATTTACAATATGTGGTAAAATTACTCTTAATGAATTACATGATAAATGTATTTAAAATTAGCACTCATGTGCAAACATTATGACAGTCAAATGTATTATTAATTTTTATTCTTCTGAAATCTTATTCGATTAGTTTTTTTGCTTTGAAGTAACGCCTCAAGTAAATTACTTGCCAAGTTGCTAACACAATTACACAAATCATACTGAACAAACTAAAATAGAGGACTCTCTTGTTTGTAGATTCTGAAATAAATAAAATTATAAATTTAAAAATACATATCTCATATTATTTACCTATTAATAACTAAATACCATTTGTACTGCGCATTTCATCAGCACGCTTTTTCATATCTTTGAATTCTAGTACAATGGCTTCTGAAAAGTCTTCCAGTCGCTTTAGATCCATCTCGAGAGGTTTCAATTTAAAAGCTTCAGCAATCTATCATCACAGTTAATTAATAAAGACAACCATATACATTATACTAGAAAAATAATTAAGAAATTGTAACTAAAAAAAAATATGACAATAAATTGTGTTGATAGTTTTTAAAAACTAAGCAATTTTATGAAGTTTCACAAAAATATTAAATAATAATATAACCAAAGTTTTTTAAACATTTCCCACCTATAAAATCTTAAAATGAATCAACATAATACTATGATTAATTAAAGAAAAATATATATCTATAATCAAAGGCACATCTGTTGTTCCTAATGCAGATCAACAGTTTTTGACCAAAAAGGGTCCAATTTTTCACACATATACTTCAGGCTCAGACAAGTCGTAGAATATTTTCATCCTGGAATTCAACCAAGTGTTGACTTACACATGTATTTTTTTTATTTTATTTGTTTATATATATATATATGGTTGCAATTGATTGGAAGATATAAAATTGTATTATTGTGAACTAAGATATCTTAATTTGTGGTTTTAATGATTGGAAATAAGTGCCTGTATTGTTTTATATAATTATTTGGTAACTGTTGTGAAAACTTAAAATAAATATAGCCGATTTCAATCTAAATCCACCAAAACTATGTAACGGGACAAGATTGTCAAAAATTCACTCTCAAGTGACACAGAGGCAACAATTCTAACAGGGGCAACTAAAGGAAAGAACATCCTCTTCCCGAAAACTCTAACGATAGGTAAATATATTAATTTTAACTTAGTTGGAGTCGGGTAATACAGTTCGTTATGTTATATAACAAAAAACTTACTCCTTCATAACTTTTAGCTTCTACTCCTGTTTTTATATCCACAAAAACCTCTTGTATAGCACCTTGATGATCTGTAAATTATAGAAGTAACTATTAGGAATCTACAATTTATCTGATAAAATAATATCATTACATTTGATAAGAGGATGTCAGCTCACTATTTGTTTTCTCTCTCTGGCCCACGCGCAACATAGACAAAACGTATTTACTCAGAATCATTTTTTCTATATTTTTAAGTAAAATTATCCATTACAAAAAAGTAAGAATAATATTTTTGAGGGAATGACATATCGATTTGTCTAAATATTGTCTCAAAACGATTTAAGCATAATTAATTAAATGTACAACAATTTTTTGTTTATTTTGAAAGTCGAATACAGATTCAATTAACAATAAAATATAAAATTGATGTCATTCTCTAAAAAATATTATTTACTTTCTTTTTTATAATGGGTGATTTTACTCTAAGATTTCTTCAAAACATAGAAAAAATGATTCTGCGTTAGTGCCTTTTGTCTATGTTGCGCGTGGGCCAGAGAGAGAAAACAAATAGTGCACTGAAATCCTCATAAGTAACTGTATATTAATTATACAGTATAAAATGTTAAATGTAGATTCTTATATAAACCATTGTTTTTATTCATCGATTGAGTAACAAGTTATAGCTTACATTCATCTAAAAAATATAAAACAAAAAAAAATTACTTTAAGGGCCGCTTTCACCAAATACTTTAAACTTCGATTACGCTTAATCGACTGATAACAGATATTTAACCGGGCAAATTCGGCCGATTAAACCCCGGTTTAACTTTAATCGGAGTTTAAAGTATTGGTGAAAGCGGCCCTAATTCATTTAAATGTTTTATTTTGTTCATACTTACTATTTGAAGTTTTTGAAGAAAAACATATTTCAAATATATCATAATTTTCTACACTAAAAGTAAACTTTCCAGAACTTATATCTTCTTTCTGGGACAATATATGATTTTTTGAATCTTTAACCTATGAATAATATAAATATGTATCTATTTTATTTATCAAACATTAAATAATAATACATATTTGAGTTAATCAATCTCAGCAGAAATAGGATAATGTAAGTTTGACTTGCAAAAAAATGTATAAATTTATAATAGATAGAATTAAAACTTAGGTACTAAGAAATTAATATATATTATTTGTATACAGGAATTAAAAAATAACTTTTTTTTAAAAATAATTTTAGTATGGTTGGGACGATTAGGGTGATAATTAATAAATATTAATTGGTACAAATGTGTAAATTGAGCTACCTAAATGATTGGATTATAACTAATTAGTTAGTAAAAAAGGTAATTTATTTAATACCTAATAATTATAGGTAGGTAAGTCATTAAATTAAAACAAGTAAGTCAATGTTTTTTGTACTGCACATTTAAATTAAGTAATTAAAGTAATTACGTAAAATTAAAATTGTTTGCTACCGAGATATGTTATTATATAATATATAGATTAAAAATTTGGAACGAATGCAGTTTAGCTCCCAAGCAATTTTTTGGAATTTTTTTTTTTCAAAATGTGTGTTTTTGCATGCCTAATTTGATGGTACTTTCAAAAAAGGCCGGTCGAACTTATTTTGGAAGTTATGGTAAAAAAAACTTCAAAATGCTCAATTTTTTCAAAAATCGTGTTTTTGAACTTAAAATACCAAAAATTTAAGTTTTTAGAATTTTTTTTTTTTTAAATGTTTGTATTTATATGCTCAACATTTTGGTGGAATCAGAATTTGCCTATCGTACTTACTTTTTATGTTATTGTTAATAAACCACATAAAACTGAATTATAAAGTTATTTCAAACTTTTGCATATTTGAGAATCTCAAAATTGATTTTTTTTTAATATTTTTTTTTTATTCGATGAGTAATAAGATAAATAAGTTTTTGGTGAAATCAGAACTAACTTATATTTTTTGGTTTGGGAGAAATTGGTTTACACGTGGAGCTCCGCAAAAGTCATACAAAAAAAAAAAAAAACCCGGTGGGGGGGGGCATGGGTAAATTAATAGAACGATTACAATGTCAAACTATTGGGAACTGAAAAACTGCATTTTCAAATAATAAAGTTTTAGAATTTACTTTTTTTCGACTTGAATTTGTGGAATATTCTCGACATCTCCATTATTCAGTTTTATGTGGTTTATTAACAATAACATAAAAAGTAAGTACGATAGACAAATTCTGATTCCACCAAAATGTTGAGCATATAAATACAAACATTTCTAAAAAAAAAAAAATTCTAAAAACCTAAATTTTTGGTATTTTAAATTCAAAAACACGATTTTTGAAAAAATTGAGCATTTTGAAGTTTTTTTACTATAACTTCCAAAATAAGTTCGACCGGCTTTTTTTTGAAAGTACCATCAAATTAGGCATGCAAAAACACACATTTTGAAAAAAAAAATTCCAAAAAATCGCTTGGGAGCTAAACTGCATTTATGCCAAAAATTTAAATAAAACTACTCGTATCAATAAGGTAGGTATCTGGTTGATTATTTAAATATACTTACAACATAATCTACTTGCTGATTGTCAACCGGAGTTACTTCATATTCACCCTTTACCAATACATTTTCCCTGAGTTCTTCTCTGAGACATTTTCGACTGTTGGGTTGCATATTCCATCTTATACAGTTCCCGATTGAGAGTATAGATAAAGAAATCGCCAAATGTACAATTAAGTTCATTGTAACAAATTAATTGTTGAAATATGTAATACAAATTATACAAAAGCGTAAACGATAATAATATACGAGTTGTCAAACAAACATAGAAGTAGGAAAATCGGTTTTTAATCCAAGTTTGTCCGGCACTAACAACTATACGAGTAATCGAATATGAATTCCAGTACAAAACATTGAAAGTTAATCCGCCATTTATAAATACATAGACGTTAAGCAAACACCGCAGACATATTATTATAATAGAATATGCAATAAACAAACTTGTATTATTTGTTTATCGACATAACATAATGTGTAATAAAACTCAAATACTCAGTACGAGCATAACACTAGACCACAGATAGATGTGATTGTAATAATATAATGTTACGATTGTTACGAAAAAATAAATGTATTTGAAAAAATTAATACATTTTGTAATTTTGTATAACGTGTATATTGATAAGATAAATATTAAATTACCGCAGCGGCAACATAATATACCATTCTATGAGCGGCAACGATAATAATATGACTACCATGAAGTTGTTGACGATAAATTAAAACGTGCCAATGAAACAAGTATTAGATACGTTTTTCGTGTTATCTACTTGTCTGGTTATCGGGGCACAAAAACAACACACAGAGTCACTGAAAAAAAAATTGAAAATTGAAAAGTTCCAACTGTGTCACCACGAAAAATGCGCTCGTGTTCATGATGTAGCTGTCCGGCTCATGATATAAGTAGTATGGTTAGTTAAATCGTGGTCCGGCTGTCGTAACTTAATATAATATTGTTAATTGTTGTAGACATTTCACATTTATAGTTTATGTGAGCACAGAAATATTGATGTCACTTGTCAGTCCGTAGCGAATATCATAATACAAAATTGGTGTTGCTCAAATAATTTTAGGTGACCTACCCCTCATAATACTGTTATACCGACCTATACAATTTCCTATTTTTCTTCTATCAATACCTACCCACCCATATTTAAAGTGTGGCCTGAGCAACGCTTGGACCCTATGTTGCACGCCACTGATGTCAGCCAATTTTTTAGTTTTACACAATTAAATCTGTTCAAATTTCAAGTTTATACCACTATGAAACATTGCATTTTTTTACCCTCGGACATAAGACAATTAATACAATGTCAATTACCTTAGCCACCTAATAAAGAATCCAAATTTATGCTATTGTGATAAAATAGCTGTAAAGAAAAAAATATGAAATAATTAATTAATTAATTACAATAATAATACCGATTTTGGTGATTATAATGAACTAGATTTGCCCACAAGGTTTGTTTGTTTGTTTTTTTTTTTTTTTTGAGCATGTTATAAAATAACCAATTTAAGTGTATAAAAAAATAGTTAAAAGAAAATAATACTTAGTTCTTGACTCTTGTAAATTAAACCTAAACCAATTATTTCAATTAAAAGTATTAATGCATATTTTACCAAAGTTTAGGTAATCTTTTTAGTTTATTACATTAGATACACCCTGAATAATGCCCATCAACCAAATAACGATTTAAAACGTGTAGCTTACCATTCTAAACACAGTTGACTGATGCCATATCTTTACAGTGTTTTGCTACCAGTACATATTTTAACAACTAACCATAACTATTATCTTACCTATCTATTATTTTCATTGTACAGAATGTTAAAATGTTTTATTAATTTAATACAAATTAAAATACACTCCATAATATAGTCATGGCTCGGTATTAAGAATTATCCATAGACACTAGTTTGATTTTAAAATACTTATTGTACACTAAAATAATGATCATGAATCAACATTTTCTAGTACCTGGTCCTTAATTTACAGATTTAAAATGCAATGCCAAACAAACAAATGAAAATCAATTACAGTTTTTTTAATATGTTATAAAGTTGTAACCGATTAGCTCATAAAAGCTCATACACCATAGGTACATGATCATTCATAAATTCAAGATGACAAGACTGTCAGATTTTTGCAGCTGACAAAAAAAATAACACGAGTTTAATATTCATCGATTATGAAAGATGTTAAATGATAATCATGCAACAATGAATGTTATCATTAGTTGATTTCACAAATCATCATAAATAGGCGTTGGGTCCTTTAACATTTCCAACAGATTACTATAGATTGAAGCAGTAGCTATCACTATTTTTGATACTTACCTTTCATGCACTGGCGTCCGCAGGGAAGAGGCTAACGGGCTGAAGCCCCCCCCCCCGGGCCCCCCCCCCATTGCCCGTATTATTATTACTTTTTCAAAAAAATATTAATCAAGTTTAAACTGTCAACTATGGCAAATCTCATTTATGTTTTACCAGAATGAATTCATTTTTGAAAAAACATTCAATTTTCATAAATTATCTGTAATTTTTCGGTAAAAGTATGAAAGACCTTGTATTAAATTTTCTAGACTTAGATAAACATATTTTATATTTTATAAGTTTTGAACTACAAATTATCTGTGATTTTGACGAAATTTGAACTTTAAATGCTCATAAAAAATAACCATGAGCCTATGTATTGTTAATATTTTAGCTATAGTAAAAAAACTTACTTATTACATTTTAAAGCTTTTTGACCGGATAAATAATTTTTTATTGACATTTATAGAAAAAAAAATTTTAATTAATCAATTAATACAATCCAAGTTAAGACGGTATAACCAAGCTTGTTACCAAACAATTTAAATAAATTTTCATTTTTTTTCTCCAATTATTTTTAAAAGAATTTATTTATTAAGAATTTTCAATTTCGACCTCCTAAAAGTACTAACTAGATCCAATTTGCTTCCAAAAACATACACTGGGCATCGAAGCTTATGATCAGAGCATTTTTTCTACCAGAAGAGTTGAAAAGTTACAAACATTTTAAAATACCCTAAATAAACGTCTGCAATTATTAGACTGGACAAAATAAAAATTAAATTGTAACTAATTTTCAAGCACCCCCCCCCCCCATTGAAAAATACTGCGGACGCCACTGCTTTCATGGATTCAAAAATAAATAAATTACAATTACTACTAACAATAACTAACAATAAAAAGTTATAAATAATAACTTATTGACCTTGTATTGTTTTTTACAATCACCTCTGCTTAATAACCATGACAAATGGAATGAAATGAAAACAATATTTCATATACAAGTTTATATTATTTCAAATTTTTTGATTTGATTTATAGTATAATAGTAGTATAAAGAACATTTAAAGCGATGAAATATAACATTATTGATGGCTTGTTTATACATTTAGCACAAATAATTTGAAATTAATATATATATTTAAAATAATTATTAACATTAAATAATGATGAACCTGTAGATTGAATATTACATAAACAGTTTGTTTATTTATTTTAGTATTAAAAATCCATTTGAGTTCATCTTCACAACAATTTTATTAGGTAACAATAATAAGTACAAGATAAAAAAATATATAAGGAATTAAAAATACATTTTATACTCAATAATCAGGCTTGGTTCACTTACGTATAACAAACAAGTTTAAACTAAATATTTTTAACAATAAAACAATGTTTATTTTGAGGTAAGCTCTCTTGTATAGGGATGAGGCAACAGTGATGTAATTCCATTTATAATTGCCATTGGCTTACGTTGGACACATACTTTTTGAGACCAAGTACTACACAATAGAGCCAGCTTACCATAAATAGTTTGAGCCATCTCATCTGTTTCAATATTATTTTCACATACATAAACAGTATCAAAATAAAATGTTGGTGAACAGAAAATATTAAATGTCTTTTTGTCTAGTGGTTCAATAATCGGTAAACAGTCATCTCTGTTATAAGTCATGATAACTCTAAATATACAATCTTTGTGAAGATTCCTTAATTTACCAATATATTTTAACAAAGGGCCGAAATCATATGCCACAACTTCTTCAGGTTTATCATTTTGATTCAATATAGATGATAATTTTTCGATTACAACATTAATATTTGTTGTAAAATCCATAACTAGATTAAATGAGTGTGGGGTTAATAGACAAATACCAAAAGAGTTATTTTGGAACCGATTCTTTTGTAATGCAAAAAATCTGTATGCCCTTCGAATTATTGCCACACTAGACATTGAATCTATATTAGTAGGACTGAAATCAATATCAGTTTTAGACAATGCATACGAATCCATAACAAACAATATTTTCTCATCTGGTAGATTTTTAAACTCTATGGGAGTTTTTGTCAACTTTTTTGATAGAGCGTTTGCATAAGACATCGTAAAAACAAATTAACAATATATTTGAATTTACCAACGAAAACTTTTCAATGATCTTTTTGAGTCCAATTTCAATTAGTTCTCGAACTTTTATGTGTCAAAAGGTCCAGGTTGAATAACATCGATGAAATCCTAGAACAGAATTTAATTTTTATAAGTAGGTATAGGTATTATGAAATACAAGTACACAAACTGCAATAACAAATCGATTTAATCTTGTAAAAAACATACCTAAATAATTTTCAAGTGCAATAACAATTGTTATTCGTGTCGACGACTAAAAATGGTATACTAAATGTTTTGTAGGCGGAAAAAGGTAAAAAATCTACACTATCAATTAATAATATTGTAAATGAATTAGTATTAAATTTGAATGGCATTCCCGTGTCAAAAATCGATAGGCTAGGCAAGATGTTAAACACCAACCACAAATAATAGTGTAAATTTACAAAATTAAATATTAATTATTATATTATAGTATAACACAGAAACACAGAATACAAAATAATGTTATTGTAAAAAATTATTATCGCAAAATATTTTGTGGTTACCATTGTGGATTGATATCTACAACTTGTTATCAGTCCACCTCGGTGGTTACCTCAAAATCGATTACAAAATAATAGTATTTACAGGGTGTATCTTATGTCATTGTACACGGGGTTTTTTAACGATTATGGATTCGATGACACAGAATTTCGTTAGGTTATAATTTACCAATTTTCATGATTTTAATGAATTTTATTGACTTTTTAACTTCGGACGCTCATGAAAAATTATTGTGGTTTTACTCTCAACTTTTTTTTTAATTCCACTAACAACAACTTAAGAGGAACTTTGTATTACATTTTCAAGTTTTTTGACCAAGCGTCAAGCGAATATTTTTTATCAAAATTAATTTTAAAAAAAACTAATAATAATCGAAATTTTCATATGGCTATAATGCATATAATTTATAAATAACTCATCATGAATCAAAATATTTTGAAAATTGTATGGTGTATAGAAAATGTTAATATAAACACTCAGTGAACATTTCATGTATTTACAGTAATTTTTTTAAGAGTTAAAAAAAAAACAAAATCGATTTTGTCGAAAACCGATTTTGCGTTCAAATTCGCGATTTTTCTTAATTTTTTTTTTAGTTTTTCCAGGTGCTTTTGAATACTACTGGGTAATGGGAATTTTAAATTTAGACCTCACCAATGCTGAATGCACCAACTAGATTCCCATCGGAAAAGATAGAAGTTGGAAAGAATTATTTCGACTACTTATAATGTGCACAGACACAAATTTAAAAAACAAATCAATGTTTAAAATCAGTACATTCATTGGAGCCCTCAGAATCTAAAATATATCGCAATATTTTATCCTGTTTATTAGTAAAAATTATTAAATACCAAAGTGCAGATTCTAATGATAATTTAAATTAACCATTGGTAACAATTATTTAATGTTATGGCAAACAACAGTACCTAGGTAATGTGTAGGGTGTATTATAGTGTATTACGATACTATTATCTAGGTACATCGTGGATTGTCATGTCAAAAATATTAAATAAAGCCAAGCCCGACCAGCGTTTAACTAAATCTGAAATTGTGTTATGATCATAATTCATAGTATTCAAATATTATTATTGTAGCTCTTTAATAAAGTTAATTCCAATAATAATACTAATAATAATATACGCCACTCGGAAATTCGGAATCAAACTACCCATTGGCTTTGGCTATGAGACTTTAAAGTTTAAACTTTAAACAGACTATTGGCAGCATGAGTATGAGCCGTAAACGATGACTATAATAGATACGTAAGCTCGGTGTAAATAATTGTATTGTTTTTTTTTACCTACTTACTACATAAATGTATTTTATAGTGAAATCAAATGTCTGACTAATGATTCTGTACAGTAGGTACTATAATACTACTACACTACTATACTGCGTGTATACTGTGTACCTACGCATAACGTAGGTAGGTACCTAATTCGAATCATTCTGAATGATATACTATTATGTGGAGTGTAGACAATTTAAATTTATCACACATGCAGACATAAGTCACAAGTACAACAACCACGAAAATAATCTCCAATTATATGAACACAAACACCATAAAAAAAAATAAAAATGTTACGTACCCGTCATCACGACACGACGCTGACATCATGTACAGTATAGTGCGCTATTGATGCTGGAATGTCACCGGTTCTATTTGACACAATCTGTAGGTACATTTTTTTGGAACATCGATGTTTTTATATTCACGGATTTTGTACGTATTCGAAACCTGGGATCAATAATTAACATAAATCGACTAAGTCTATCCAACCGAACAATATTTTCTTACTGAAATTAAAAACTATTAAAAATACATAGGCAGGTACTAAGTAGGTAGTTAACGAAATTTATTATTGAAATAAAAATGTCTTAACTGACGACATTGGGTATATTAATATATTTTACAATAATATTATATACTCAATGCTCAAGATTATGCATATAATATATTTTACAATAATATTATATAGGTACTCAATGCTCAAGATTATGCATATAATATATTTTACGGTAATATTATATACGATTTTGGTTATTTGGTTGTAATTTAAAAAAGGTAAACAAGTGAGTGTCGCTCTGCTGTACAGTAGGTTACAAGTTGGTCACTGTAATGGATGGTGTTAAATTTGAATTCCATGATATAATATCATTGTATAAGAAAAACGATTCTGAGAGAAGACGGTCAGTCAGCCTATGATATTACTAAGTATATTATATATTATATTTGATGATATTATTGTGAATAAAGTAATATTTATGTATAACCTATTTCCGTAGAACCTTGTTTTAAATTTTTAATCCTTAGATGCATAAAATGAACATTTCATAAATTTTCTAAACTACAAAATTCTAATTTAACTAGGTACCTACAGTTATTCGTTTTTGAATTACAACAAAATAACAAAACCGCTACATGATAAATCGAGTGAATATCCAATCTTGTAAAAATATGAACTTTGTGAAAATTTAATTTGATTTACTTGTATATATTTTTTTTGTTGATAAAGATGGATAATCTTCTGAGGAATCTTGTATTACAATTTCTAATTTTAGATTTCAATTTTCAATTGAAAAGTTTTTATGCATTTCTAACTCAAAATAATTTGCACATTTTAGGGTTATTTTACGCATTTTGTCAATATTTGAGCTTTAAATTAAACACTAGCAAATAGATTGATTATATGGAATTAGGTTATTATATGGTAGGTAATAGCATTAATTATTACACATAGTACTCATAGTAGGTAGGTAATGTACTATGCATAATCAAATATCAACGGTGGTACAAACTAATAGTAAACAAATACTACCTAACTATTTCTAGTATTTTACCATGTATAAAAGTATAATAAATGGTAGGTATTAGATAATATTAAGCCATTTACAAGTTATATATAGGTACCTACTTGACATATTTATATAATTTGTTTAGTTTTAGTGTTTATATTTTGAGAGTGGGCATGAATCATGAATGTATATTCAAAATTGGGAGTATCCCTGCCATATCATTCTTTAATTTGTGTTCAGCACAGATATGTTAAAATGTTTTTTTTTCCATCTACCATTTTAATAAACCTAATTAATCTACTTTTTCTACTATAGGTACCTACCTACTATTTTTGAATGGTTCACAATTCACTCTGTGTTAGTGCCTCATTAGATTTTAAATAATATATAGTAATTTCATACAAAGTTACAATTACAAATATGAATTTTGTCAAATGTTAAGGCCTGAACCCAGGACTTTATCATACATGGGTATTATACATTGTATACAGCTGAGCTTTGATAATTGAGTATATCATGATTTAAGATATTTTATTATTATTAACTTATAAGTTAAAATGAATCACTGAAAACATACCAAATGTGTACATTTTTAATCATTTTACTATTATATTATAATTTATTAGACATTTTATTTTTATAATTACAAATTTAGATCAATGATCCAACTGACCAGAGGTTTTGGTTAAGTTTACTTGTATATATATATATGTATATCATGAAATAAATAAATAGGTGATTAAATTAAATACAGAATCTAATTATATAATATGTTATAAACTATGAATTCACAGAATTGGTGGGTATAAATCTACTTTACCGGACACTATTTTTTTTTTTTTAGGCTGAATTCAATAGTGTTTGAAAAAATTTCCTGAAACTTACCGTTCAAAAGTTATGGCAATTCAAAGTTGTCGATATGTATTATAAAATATACTAACTCTTGAATGGACGAGTGAGCGAGTGACCACGCTGGCTATAAATGTACTTAGAAACAATATTGAGGAAAACCGAAGTTCACCTGAGGTGGTTTGATTTTACACGAGTCCAGGGATATTTTCGATTTGCGGAGCGACGGCGCCGAGGAGCGTAGCGACGAGTGCCGATAAACGCGAGTAATCACTGCAACTTTGAATTTCCATAACTTTTGAAAGGTAAGTTTCCGGAAATTTTTTCAAACACTTTTGAATTCAGCATACAAAACCACGTATTTTGAAAAAAAAAGGTGTCCGGTAAAGTAGATTTGTTAAAAAATAATTTTATTTTAATTTAGTAGTAATTTACTTATATTCCAATATACCGTGTACTAGTATATGTTTCACTTTTATTTAATAGGTACTTATTTTAAATCTTAAAAGTATTTGAAAATTTGAAATGTTTCTTAAATATTTTCTGAATGGATGTGGACAATATATTATGACAATTGTATACATTAACTATTAAGTAAAAACATTTTAAATTTAATAATTTATTCAATAAAATTAAAAAAAAAATTTAATGAAAGAATGTAATAGATATAATTATTATTTAATACTTTTCTGAAGGATATCTATTTTTATTTATTATTAATATTAATATACTATATTCCCTTGGATTTTACACTGTCTTAAACATAACATCCCTGTTAACTCTTAATTGTATACAAGTATAATAAATATATTTGATTTAATTTTTAAATACATTTTTTTGTGGAATTCCTCATGGTCAGCTTATATAAAAAGTTGGTCGAATAAAATAAAAATAATAACATAATATGTACAATTTGTACGAATTAGAAAACCTCTATATTCTATAAAATAAAAATAGTATCAACTATCAAATACCATTGATTATACTTATTACTTATATTATAGTACTATATACATACATTATACTATGTACTATATACATACATTATACTATGGTACTATAATCAATGCTTTAATACCTATACTTTATTATACATAAATACATATTATTTATTAATATACAGATATAATATATAACATTTAATATACATATAAAATAATATACGATATTAATATGTCAATAACTTTTACAAAATGTTTCAAGCCTGAGGTAGTGGGTCATAATAAATGTGAAAATATTTCATCAAACATGATTAGGTACCTATATTGAAACTGAACAAAATACAAAGATAGTTTCTTTTGAAACTGATTTAAATATATTATAAAACATTCAACCAAAGAAAGTAATGTAATAATTTGTGATGGCGAACATTGTAATATCTGTGTTCATACTGAATTTAAATCTGCATGCATACTAGCATACTGTATAGTTCATCCTTCGTCATGTAAAAAATTAATATTACCTTGTGGTAATAACCTGGCAAACAGCGGGCGTATATTTTTTGTGGTTAAACACGATTAAGTCGAACCGTGTAAAGGCCGGAGGTTGCCGGTAAATAAAATAGTGACTTGACGATCTTGGAATTCCGGAATAATTCGATTTTACGAACGGTGCACTATACGAAGTTCGGGTATAATTTATTGTTTTCGTGTGAAATACAATGACGGTGTGCCGTGTGGTACGTAGGCTAAAGAGAGAAATACGATAATATTATAGTAATAATATACGCTGATTGTTTCGAAAATTAGTCAAAATGAGAATTATTTTCAGGACCAAAAACAAACACTTATTATCTATGGAACAACTATATCTATTGTTCGATAGCTTTCCGACCGTGACACAACCGTCGGAGAACGATAAACAACGGATCCATTCGATTATTGACGATTGGTTCCGGCGATGTAGGAGATCAGAAATTCGTTCAAGATCTGGTGTTTCGAAAAACAGTCAATAGATGGCGTTCGCGAGCATAATCGTTAGTTAACGCGGTTAGGACTTAGGACGCTGATTGCCCGGCATTTCTTTCGCATTGTGACCATAAGTTTTCCGAGACGCACCTAAGTCAAAAATATGCACCTCACGCACACAGACCGCACCACGACTTGGTAACCGGGATCGGATAACGGTGTTGTGTGAACACCAAAACGCTGCACGGCGTCGTGACCGCGTCGATTGTATATAGGGAACCGTACACCGATTTGAAGACAATTCCGGTTCCCTTTCAAATCGAAAATTGGGCACAGGGATATTAGCCTCCAGTTGTTCAGGTCGCTCTGGTCGCCTTTCTTGAAAATAAAACCGTCAATATCCGCGAAGGCCAGGACCCGGTGGCCAGCGTCTGTACCTTGTAGCGCCGAGACGACTGGGTCTACTGCCATAATGAAGAGCAGTCCGCTCAATGGGCACCCCTGACGATGTTGCACCGCTATAGATGTCCTGGACAATCCGGAGGAGCCCCTCGCCCGCGCCACAGCTCTCAATGGCTGTCTCGAGCGCCATGTGGGGGATTGCCCCGAACGCGTTAGACACGTCGAGCCACGCCACACACTTGTCGGATTTGCCAGTCCGGGCTTTTTCAAGCTCGCGGTTAAGAGTGTGGACGTGCTCAAACGCACCGTCCGATGGGAGGAACCCCTTTTGGCAGGGGCTGAGGACTGCATTGCTCACCAGCCACTCCGTGAGGCGACCTGCAATACAGCCGGCATATAACTTTTAGATGGTGCGGCATAGGGAGATGGGCCTCCAGTTACCCAGGTCACTCTTGTCCCCCTTCTTGAAGATCAAGACGGTCACTGCCTTCTTCCACGCCGGGGGGACACGGCGATGTTTTAAACAGGTGTTGAAGACTTCAGTTAGTAGACTGCATGACGGATCGAGGCGTCTCCAATGATGATACGTGAGGCCGTCGTCGCCAGGGGCCGTGTTTTCAAACTTTTTCAGTCGTTTTGCAACAACGCACGCGGAGAAGGGCCCAGTCGGGACAGGAGTGCGTCCATCCGTACGGGGGAAGATCGTGGCGTCACAGGTGGAGGGGGACCAGACTCCGGTAAAGTGGTCTGTGGTATCTCGGATTCCGTGGAGGGGAGCATTCAAAGGAGTCTAGAAAATTAATTTTTACAATTGCCTGACCTTCCGGTCGGGCTTATTTTACAACATTGATATTTTACCAATTAAGATGAATAAAATTATGAAAACTTTAGTTTGAGCATTGCGTTTTTGAATTTGAACATTGCGCCTGTAAGGCTAGGCGTTAGCTAATAGCATTGAGTATAGATAGTATAGAGAGACCATCTTGCCTATATTATGATACGTAATGAATTAGAATTAGAACTATACTCTTTTCAGAATAAGAAGGAACCAGGCGGCCACGGACAAAACCGGTTTTGTTACGTAAATCTGGTGCGTTCTTATTCTGAAAAGAGTATAGAACTGTCAATAGAGCGCGCACCGCGTTAAAAGGAAAATATAAAAATTATAATAATAATTATATTATAAATGTAAATGTAATTGTGCAGTTGACACCTCTACGTAATTTACGTTTCATCACCATCATAGTTTTACGATACAACGTTGCCTAATTTGGTCATAATTGACGTTGCCATTTACAACCAAAATGTATGAATTAATAGGCATATTTTATTTTCCGACCTGCGGAAGCGCAAGCTCCGGCCGCCCGTTCACCCTGACGAGTCCTGCACTCCTGCGCGTCGTGAAACTTGCAATTTGCATTCCAATTCTCAATATCCCATTAATGCTGGCGCACACGTGTTGTCAATTATGCTACGATATCGTTAGTGACCAACGTTCACCGGGCTCCGATCGACAAAGCGAGCGTCAAAGAACATATTATTATGGCACGAATACAATCTTTAACATTCGTAAAAAGTCGAATATTCGTATACATTTAATTTACCTAGTTGATCATAAATTATATTGTTGGTATTTTTCTCATGTTTCATGATTTAATCATTTAAATAGTTGCTATACAGTATACGTATATAGGTACACCTAGACCTAACCGAAAGTATCTTCTGGATACTTCTGGATCATATTATTTTCGTTATATTATCGTCTTTATTAATTATAAAATAAAATCATATTTGACGAAATAAACAAAATTACAATGAATAATCGTCGACTTAAAATGTTCAACAAATACTTCTATTGCCATTTTCTAGATATATTAATATAATAATAATATTAGGTACATTGTCGTTATTTATTGAATAAACCGTAAACGAATATTTACCTATATTATTTTTAATTTTAAAAACAACCTTGAATACTGGCCTACTATACCCTAAATAGCTAAATGCAAGCTGAATAGTTTGTTAATGTATAGCCTATCATAAAACAAATAGGAATATTATTTGTGTTGAAATCTCAAATCACTAACATTACCTATTTACCTAGGTACTCAGAATAATATACTTATATAGAAATAGAAATAATAAAAACAATACAAAATACAAAATATTTTTCTTATATAATAATTTTTTTTTATGAATGTTATTGCAGTTTATGTATCTAAAATTTAATAAATTTTTAAGTCAGGGGATATTTTTGGCGTTTTTGTTCTTGGTGGTGGTTTCTTTACAAAATATTATTATTTTTTCTGATCATTATTATATTATGTTCTCTCCACAAGTTCAACGTTAATATTTTTATGTTATTAGATTAATTTAGAATTATAATGAAACTACTAAAGATTCAAGAATATGTAACTATGCATATTGTGTATTTAAATAACATTAAATACTTGGCAAATTCCTCTATAGATTCCTTTTATTATTTTATATATTATATTTATAGTTAGTCTTACATTTGTACATTTAATTGAAACTGAATATATGCATGGCAATTATATTAAACTTTATAGTGTTTTTTTTTATTAAATTAATTATATAATATGTATAATGTAATAATACCAAATGCATGGCACGTACGAATTTAAACCAGAGCTTTAATGAGCTCTAAAATTGGTATGCTGTAGAACCAATATTAATAATTTACTGAAGAAAAACATGTATGTTTAAATTATATTTTATGTTGTAAAAAATGTTATTTATCATAATTATTACCTATGAGTTTATTTTGAAGTGAATCCTGTGTTTCAGAGATATTATGTTACGCATTTGGTAACATGTATAAATTGTTTTCTTTATTTTGCAATATTAAATTTTGTATTTATGCAATGTTTTGTTATTTGTTATGTTTTCAAAATAATAGAATATAGAATATTTAACTTGAATGAACATGTACCAAGAAGTAATGGTTTTATTATAATTTAAAATATTAATTAAACTGAGTGAATCATAAATAATAAGTAGGTAATGGGCAATAGCATTCAAATATTGATAATATAATAGACTATTCTATAATTAATGGTTAATATGGTTATAGCACAGACTTATAGTAATAAATATCAAAAGAAAGTTTAAAGAAATATACAGTGAAAACAAAACCATTTAACATACAGAAAGTAGTTGTTGTGCAAATAGCAAGTTATATTGTTGTACTAATTTTACATAAAATTATGATTTATACCTTATGGTGATTTAACAATACAAAATTAAGCAATATCATAATATGGTTAAAATAATCATAAAAAATTAGAACATTGTCTTTATTAGTTATTTTAATTTTGTAGGTACCAGATAAAGTGTAACGCAATATTAGTGTTAAAAGTTTAAACTATTAATACAATAAATAAATAAACATAGGTAACCAGATAGGCAAATTATTGAGGTTTTTCTATAAAATAAACAGTATTTCCAATAACCTTTATTCATTGTTTCATAAGAAAACATACACGCATTATAATTATTGTATAATAGCATTAATTAAAAATGAAAATGGTGAGTATTAATTGCATTTTTGTTTATTTTCTGAAAAATTGTTCTTATAATTAAAAAATGCTACTAGGCACATTTATAATATATAGCAGTGCCGTAGCCAAACTATTTTTTTTATCTCTAGTTTTGTAGAACTAGATTACTGATCACCCGTTATTCCATTATATGACAAAAATCTAACCGATATTCTGGTGGCTGGCATAAATATTCATAAAACAAATTAGGAGGGGGGCAAAGGTAAACATTAAGCCGGTATATCCAAGTCATAAGAAAATATTGACACAAATATTAACAATCCGTGTTCCGTTCACTGGTTGACATATGTTATGTAGAAAAAATATTTTTTATCACTTATCAGTAAAGCGTATATAATAACAATAATATATATATATAATAAATAAATATTATGTACGTATTATAATTATATTATGTTCCTTGATGTACACACTCGTCAGCAATGCAAGATCGAGGTGATGTGCAATTCGTGAATAATTTGTTTGTCAATTGTTATGTTACTTTTTGCCAACAATTATACGTTTCACGAAAACGCCCTCCGGGATGGAATTAAGAACTCGTGTTTACTGCCCACTGATCACCAATATAAATAATAGTGACTGAATAAACTTAAATTACTTATAAACTCTAAAAAATGTTATGAATGCACTTCGAAATAATCTTTAACAGATTTTCAATGTCAAAATTATTGTAGTGAACAACCGTCAACCACAGATAGGTATTCGAGAATCCAAAATCCAATTATTGAATGAATATTGAACCTCCAATAACCAAAATTTTGAAAAATTCAAAAAAACCAAAATTTCAAGTTTTCAAAATATCAATTTCCAAAATTCGATATTTTGACAATTCAAAAAAGGTTTTTGAACTTTCAAATATTAAAGAGAACTACGATCATGTTTATTATGTGGGCCGTTCCCGGTGGTACTGCAATACCGGGTCAACCCGCGGTGGAGCAGGAGCAAGCCCCAAAATCTCCACCAAGTTTGAAAAAATTAGTTTAACATTTGAACCATTCAATGAATGGTGTATCAGATGTTAAGCTGATAAGAACAGATACTACACTTTGATCTTAGCCGATAGGCCGAGAAGCGATACACTACAAACATCACTGAGGTATCTTAAAGATAAATGCAATTCTAAGACGATTGCAGTTTGAAATTTGAGCGTGTTCGAAAAATCGAAAATTTTCGATTTTCGAAAAATCGCATTTTGGAGTACGGGCGTATACGTCATTAATTTAGTGTATCACACCTCACCAATTCATGATATTTACAATTAAATAGGTGATTTGATGGATTAATAGTTGAATATACCATCAGACAAATGGTACAGCTCAAATGCGCTATCTACCATCAATAAAAAACGAACGCATATGCGAAATATTCTTTTACAAAAACACTTATTGCGTTGTCTATTTCTACACAATCTTGTTTTTTCTTATGTTTAATAGTTGTAAAACATATTCGAGTTTGCAAATAACCAATTGAATACAACAAGATCAGTAT